GGGATCAGCTCCCTCAGGACTGGACGAGGTCCTGGTGGACTGAGCTATCTGGTGGGCACAGGGAACCAGTCATTCAGAGTAGGAAATTATCCCACTGCTCTAATCTGAGGCTATTGCAGAAAATAGAGAGTGAACCATTATAGTTTTGGCAAATATGTGGATTAGTACACGAGAGATTCTGCTGCAAAGGTGGGAGTTACCACTGGATCCATGTCCACATGACCAGGGCTAAGACCCCTGACTGCCACATATCCCACCCCATATTGGTGAGCCTGTGTCCAGGGTGACATGTATTCAGTAGCCAGCATGGCACAGGCAGCCACTGTATGACATCCTCCCACTGGCCAGGATGTCCTGGCACCACCCACATGCCTGTCTGTCTCATTCTCTTGCACCCCAAAGAAGAGAGAAGACCAAAATTTCCCAACTTAATTACACCATGTCAGAGGTTTCTGAAGGCAGGAGCATCTTCACTGGAGATACGTTCTTAATCTTCTAGTGACACAGACACTGAAATGGCTTCCTGAAAATTCTCATTAAAAAGTGAGGATTCAGGCCACCATTTGAGAGCAGAAGAGTCAGGTTCTGGGACAGCTGGAGGCAGTGGTGGTGACTGGAATAACTTTTCCAAAGGAAAGCTGTTTAGTGAACTGTCCTCTCCAGTAGAGATGGCCAATGGGCTTTGTAACAGTGCCAGACTGGCTTCCTATTGCCCAGGATTTTGCTCTTTAGTTAAAAAGGTTGTCAATTGCAAAGACTTTTCAACTGCAAGATCATCAGGTTCCGAAGAGTCTCACGTGGCCTCTGCACCTCCAGATACATGCTTTCAAACAGTGTGGCCTGATGAAACTATGCGACCTTTTGGTCCTCAACACAGAGGTTCCAGCTTCCTGGGAACATAGGTTTTGATTGTCACCTCAATGGGACTGGTTCACTGAAGAAAGCCTGGTTCATAAAACTTTGCCTGGTATTCTAGCAGAACCTTTATCAGGTGAAAGACAAGTTTGTGATGGCACAACGTGTGAATGAATTTGAGGGTAATGAGGCATCTGTTGAACACAAAATTAACAGCATAGAAACCTACTTTGAAAGTGCCAGAGTAGAGTGTGCAATGCAGATATGCCCAGAATTGCTGCAAGAGATTTTGAATCACTGTTTCCAGAAGTCCCTAACAGCAAACTAATGATTCTGACTGTAACACAAAAAACTAAGCATGATATGATTTGTTGGAATGAAGAAGTAGAAATTGAAAGAGAAGTTCTCTTAGAAAAATTCATCAGTGGTGCCAAGGAAATTTGCTATGCTCTTCGACCTGAGGAATATTGGGCTGACTTTATTGACCCATCATCTGGTTTGGCATTTTTTGGGCCATATACAAACAACACTCTTTTTGAAACAGATGAATGCTAATGACATTTAGGATTCTCTGTCGATGACCTTGGATGCTGTAAAGTGATTTGTCATAGTCTCTGGGGTACCCACGTAGTTGTGGGAAGTATCTTCACTAATGCAACACCAGATAGCCATATTATGAAGAAATTAAGTGGAAATTAGCAAAAATGTCCATTTATTTGCTGCATTATTTGTATGTAATATTTGGGTTGAACTATAACCACTGTCAGACTACAGTTTTTAAAAGATACTTATTTCTAAGTATTTATTTCAATATTTATGAATTCACAACATTGGCAAGTGATTTGGGATTTTAAAATTGCAAATGTTCATCATTCATATTATAATTGAATGCACATTGAGCACATCCACATTGTATAAGAATGTGGTAATTAGCATGTAACCAGGGTATGATCTGCTGTGGTTATTTCTCCCCTTTATTGGGAAAAAGCCTCAGTTTTAATTATTTTCTTTAAAAAATAAATCCCACATTTGATTATGAAAATAAGGTAAGGGTTCATGAGTCAGAATTCTGAAACATACACACTGTGGCTGATGCTGTGCTAGTATCACTCATTCCTCAATTGCAAGTATGAATGATGTGTGTGAAAATCTCATCTTCCCAAGACAGGTGTGCTAAGATTGTTCTGTCTCTTTGTGGAAAGTTTCAGGTACAAAGTATATGACAAAATCCTGTTCCGTTAGGTTGAATAATTGGCCATGAGAAGATTTAGGAGGGGAGAAATGTTCCGGAATTTCTGAGACAAAAGTACGGAAATGAGGAGACCTGTCTGCATGCATATCTATTTCTGTGTGAAT